AGAGATGTTGTATTTACCTGTCCCACCATGTGCACCGCTGATCTTTATTCCAATCCTGCACAGAGTACTATGGTTTCTTCCACCATCCCCAAAATCACCGAAGGACATAATAAATAGGTAGAGACCAGGGGAAGGAACCACATTTTATTTTAACATCAGTTTCACTTTAATATAAATCAGAACAGTCAAGAGAAGCCAGGAGAAGAGTATTCTGTACCTTATGAAGTGGGCCATGTTGGAAGGCTTAATATTTGGGAATTTCCATTAGTCCTAAAGTTGCACCACTAGTTACTTCTCAGATTTATTATTAGAAAAGCAATTAATACTGTATATTTAAAATCTGCAACTTTATGTTAATTTTAGCTGTATGATCTATTTTTGATAAACCTTTTTATTTATGCATTGAGTAGAAATGTTTTTCTTTGCACTGTGTACAATTACCATAAGATAACATTTCACACTACTAGCGAATGTTTTGACAGCCAGCATTGGCAGAGTCATCACCTACTCAGGGTATAAATAGAGTTATGATGAAACACCACAGATTGCTCTTGCAATGAGTAACACACATGTCACTGGCAGATTAATAGTTGTAGGACACCGTTACAATAAACATTGTTAACTGTCCTGACTTAAGTGCTACTGTGTGTCATATCCAGCAAGGGATTTACCTGATCCTTACAGGTGCTCTGCAGTAAACACTTTCTTTTTACTAGCAGACAGACTCATTTGTTTAATCTGGCAGAGTGTTATGCTGAGAGACATGACTGTAAACTATTAAAATAAACTCACAAGTTGAGCCAAGAAACAGAGCACATTGCAAATTGTCAGTTGCAAACTAATCAGTTTTCATCCAATTTTTCATGACATGGGACTGCTAGCGTCTACCCTAAAGCAGATGGCGTGTGTCATACCAGGAAAACAAAACTAGTTTGGGAAAGCAAGAGCTTGGAGAAACTTTGTATTAACATTTATATTTTAACATGCTTGGGGAACTAAGTGCTACACATGCAGATAATACAAAAATGAAACAAAGCAATGTTTTTTTTTAATCTATGCAGCTGTAATATCTAAACTTCAGTACAACAAGCTGGTCCTTGTAGCAGCAGCTGGACCAGGCTCTAACACAAACCAGAGCTTAATGAAGGAGGACTCATCATTTTCATGGACGGGCAGATGTAGTCTTTTTAGTTGATCCTACTGGCACAAAATTCAAAGCCTAGAACATTTATAAATAACCAAACTTTCAAAGAGTATTATAACAGTTGGACTAAGGGTAAACAGCTGTTGTGACGGGAGTGACTTTGGGTGGGGGGCCCATGGAACACAGCTCACTTAGGAGGGGTGGGGAGACCCCTGTCTCAGCTCCCCATATCCCTCTAATGTGTAAGTCACCCTGTGCCTGTTAGGAGTACAGGGTGGAATGTCCTGATATTGTGTAGACATGTAAAAAAAGGGGGGATTTAGGTGACTTTGAACGTGGCATGGTTGTTAGTGCCAGACAGGGCTGGTCTAAGTATTTCAAAAATGCTGATCTACTGGGATTTTCATACACAATCATCTCTAGAGTTTACAGGGAATGGTCCAAAAAAGATCCAGTGAGCGACAAGTTGTGTTGATGAAAATGCCTTGCTGATGTCAGAGGTCAGAAGAGAAATGGGCAGACTGGTTCAAGATGACAGACAGGCAACAGTAACTCATGTCAAAATGGACCAAAACCTTGTTAAATCTATGCCACTAAGAATTAAGGCAGTTCTGAAGGGAAAAGGGGGCCCACCGTTAGTAGCAACTTGTACTAATAAAGTGGCGGGTGAGTATTTCAAAAACATGAAGATTAACTAGGATTTTCAAATGCACAACCATCTCTAGGGTTATTATTATTATTATTATACAGTATTTTATATAGCGCAAAAGGTTTGCTCAGCACTGTACATTATAGGTGGGGGACAGAACTGAGACAATACAGTACAAAAACAAATAACAAGGGGTTTGAGGGGCTGCTCTTGCGAGCTTACAATCTAGGAGGCAGGGATAGTGGTCCAGGAGGGTGGCTGTGGGGGATGGAGTGGTAGGAGGAGTGTAGGAGGATCGGCTGTTAACGTTGAGGGTGGGGTAGGCTTCCCTGAAGAGATGGGTTTTCAGGGGGCGCCTAAAGGTGAGGGAGGTAGGTGACAGTCTGATGGATTGGGGTAGTGAGTTCAGAGGATGGGGGAAGTTCTGGAGAAGTCCGCAGTCGGGCATGGGGAGAGGAGGAGACCAGGGGAGCTAGAAAGTAGGAGGTCTTGTGAGGAGCGAAGGAGTACGGGTTGGGTGGTCTTTGGGTATCAGGTTGGTGAGGGTAGTTTGGGGCAGCGTTATGAATGGCTTTGTGTCAGGGCTCCCAGGTATGACCAGGGGAGGTGTGTGACTGATGCAGGGAAACGCAGACTTCAGATATGTGATAAACAAACAATTTATTAACACTAACCATACAAACATAAACGCAGTGCAATACTAAACATAATACAGTGCAAACAAACCCTAACCAAACCACCACAGATAACAGTACATCCAAGCAAGCGTCGTCAGGCAGGCCGGGTCAATATCAATTGGGCAGGTAGGTACAGGGGGAGCAAGCAGAGAATGGTCGGGGTCACAGGCCAGTTCAGAGGTAGAAGCAGCGTATGAGTACAGAGGGTCAAGCAGAGGGATGGTCAGGGTCACAAGCCAGGGATCAGGACAGGAAGCAGAGAATCAGACAGGAACAGAGAGCAGGAACAGGTATACAGGGCCCAGAGAAACACAACACAAGGCAGAGTCTGTGGGTCTGGCAATCCCTTAAATACCCCAGCATCATCAGTTCCAGGTGTTAGCTGGCTGAAAGGTTGAGTCTCTGATTGCTGGGGAGCACCCCGCTGGCCAGCCTGGTACTGCAGATCAAAAGGCAGGTGAGTCCCACCATTGCTGGCCAGTCCATTCCTAACAGTACCCCCCCCCCCCAAGGAGCGGCCTCAGGACGCTCCAAACAGTCCTAGCTGGGCAAAATGTTCCACCGCCCGGGTCTGGTAACTGGCGGGATATCAAAGACTGGCACACCGGGCAGGACTCCGGGCAGCGGCACACACGGGCTGGACTCCGGGCAGAGGCACACCGGGCTTGGACTCCGGGCAGAGGCACATCGAGCAGAGGCACACCGGGCAGAGGCACATCGGCAGAGGCACATCGGGCAGAGGCACATCGGGGCAGAGGCACATCGGGCAGGACTCCGGGCAGAGGCACATCGGGCAGAGGCACATCGGGCAGGACTCCGGGCAGAGGCACATCGAGCAGAGGCACACCTGGGGCAGAGGCCACATCGAGCAGAGGCACATCGGGCAGAGGCATACATCGGGCAGAAGGCACATCGGGCACAGGACTCCGGGCGAGGCACATCGGGCAGCACTCCGGGCAGCAGCACATCGAGCAGAGGCACACGGGCAGAGGCAAGGATCGGAGCAGAGGGCACACCGGGAGCAGAGGCACATCGAGCAGAGGCACACCAGGCAGAGGGCACATCGGGAGAGGCACTCGGGCAGGACTCCGGGCAGAGGCAGACATCGGGCAGGACTCCGGGCTAGAGGACATCGGGTTTACCAGGCGGAGCAGCAAGGGCACCGGGGGATGCAGCAGGCACCGGGCCCGGGGGGGTTTAGCAGCAGGCACCGGGCCCCCCGGGCGGAGAGCAGCAGGCACCGGGGCCCCCGGGGGAGAGCCAGCAGGCACCGGGCCCCCGGGCGGAGCAGCAGGCACCGGGCCCCCAGGCGGAAGCAGCAGGCACCGGGCCCCCAGGAGGGGCGACAGGCACGGGCCCCCAGGTGGGGACGACAGGCATCGGGCTCCAGGCGGGGGCGACAGGCATCGGGCCCCCAGGCGGGGCGACAGGCATCGGGCCCCCAGGCGGGGCGACAGGCATCGGGGCGACAGGCATCGTGCCCCCAGGCGGGGCGACAGGCATCGTGCCCCCAGGCGGGGCCGACTGGGCATCGTGCCCCCAGGCGGGGCGACGGGCATCGTGCCCCCAGGCGGGGCGGCGGGCGCCGGACCCCCAGGAGGGAGCGACAGGTCTCGGGCCTCAGGCGGAGCGGCGGGCGCCGGACCCCCAGATGGTGCGGACAGGTCTCGGGCCCTCAGGGGAGCGGCGGGCGCCGGACCCCCAGGCGGAGCGACAGGTCTCGGGCCCTCAGGCGGAGCGGCGGGCGCCGGACCCCAGGAGGAGCGGACAGGTCTCGGGCCCTCAGGCGGAGCGGGCGGGTGCCGGACCCCCAGATGGAGCGACAAGGTCTCGGCCCTCAGGCGGAGCGGGCGGGCGCCGGACCCCCAGGTGGAGCGACAGGTCTCGGGACTCAGGCGGAGCGGCGGGCGCCGGACCCCCACAGGAGGAGCGACAGGTCTCGGGCCCTCAAGCGGAGCGGGCGGGCGCCGGACCCCAGGCGGAGCGACAGGTCTCGGACCCTCAGGCGGAGCGGCGGGTGGCCGGACCCACCAGATGGAGCGAAGGTCTCGGGCCCTCAGGCGGAGCGGCGGGCGCCGGACCCCCAGGTGGAGCGACAGGTCTCGGGCCCTCAGGCGGAGCGGCGGGCGCGTCGGACCCCCAGGCGGAGCGACAGGTCTCGGGCCCTCAGGCGGAGCGGCGGGCGCCGGACCCCCAGGTGGAACGACAGGTCTCAGGCCCCCAGGCGGGGGCGGCGGGCACCGAGTCACCAGGCACAACCGTGGGCTCCGAGTCAACTGGGATGACCGCTGGCACTGGGTCAGACATTGGATCGTCTGGCTGGACAGCGGGCATCGGGTCACCAGGGCATCAGGTCATTTGGCTCGACAGCGGGCACCGCGTCATCTGGCAAGGCAGTGGGTCCGAGTCAACTGGTATGACCGCGGGCACTGGGTCAGACATTGGATCGTCTGGCTGGACAGCGGGCACTGGGTCACCAGGCATCAGGTCATTTGGCTTGACAGCGGGCACCGCGTCATCTGGCAAGGCAGTGGGCTCCGAGTCAACAGGCACGACAGTGAGCACCGGGTCATCAGGTACCGGATTGTCTGGCTCGACAGCGGGCACCGCGTCATCTGGCAAGGCAGTGGGCTCCGAGTCAACTGGTATGACCGCGGGCACTGGGTCAGACATTGGATCGTCTGGCTGGACAGCGGGGACTGGGTCACCAGGCATCAGGTCATTTGGCTTGACAGCGGGCACCGCGTCATCTGGCAAGGCAGTGGGCTCCGAGTCAACAGGCACGACAGTGAGCACCGGGTCATCAGGTACCGGATTGTCTGGCTCGACAGCGGGCATCGGGTCACCAGGTATGACAGCGGGCACTGGGTCACCAGGCATCAGGTCATTTGGCTCGACAGCGGGCACCGGATCAGGTACCGGATCATCTGGATCAACAGCGGGCATCGAGTCAACTGGCCTAATAGGATCGTCAGGCTGGATCAGTTCATCATGCTGGGTAGAGGCATCAGGCCGAGTAGAGGCATCAGGCCGAGTAGAGGCTTCAGGCCGAGTAGAGGCTTCAGGCCGAGTAGAGGCTTCAGGCCGAGTAGAGGCATCAGGCCGAGTAGAGGCTTCAGGCCGAGAGGCTTCAGGCCGAGTAGAGGCATCAGGCCGAGTAGAGGCATCAGGCCGAGTAGAGGCTTCAGGCCGAGTAGAGGCTTCAGGCCGAGTAGAGGCAGGCCGAGTAGAGGCATCAGGCTGAAGAGAGGCATCAGGCTGCGTACAGGCATCAGGCTGAAGAGAGGCATCAGGCTGCGTACCAGCATCAGGCTGAAGAGAGGCATCAGGCTGAAGAGGCTTCAGGCTGAGTAGCTTCAGGCTGAGAGGCTTCAGGCTGAGTAGGGCTTCAGGCTGAGTAGAGGCATCAGGCTGAGTAGAGGCATCAGGCTGAGTAGAGGCATCAGGCTGAGTAGAGGCATCAGGCTGAGTAGAGGCATCAGGCTGAGTAGAGGCTTCAGGCTGAGTAGAGGCTTCAGGCTGAGTAGAGGCTTCAGGCTGAACCACGGAAGGCAGGCTCACCGGTTTGGATACTGGCAGGATGGTATTGGTTGGAAAGAATTTTCGCTTTTTTCTGGTTTTAACTACTGGAGCACTGCAAGTAAACGCAGGTCTGCAAACGAATGGAGCAGCTGGAGACAGAGAAGAACTGGAGGATGGAACAGGAGAGGGAGCGGTTGCTACAGAGGGCTCTTTTACAGGGTTAAAGGCAGGATAGGTGCAGCGAGTGGGAACAGGGTACTGACATGCGGTAGATAGCAGGGCAGGAGGAGCTGTTGGGAATGCAGGAATAGAGCTTTGAGGAAATAGATTAGAAGCAGGACTGGGTTTTGTAAGCTGACTGAGGCTGGGTGCAACAAATCTGTCCATGTCTGCAGTATGGGTTGAACAAAGCTGAGTTTACACAAAGCCTGTCTGGTCAATGACTGCACTGCGTTTATACAATCTCTTAGTGTCTGTGGTGAACATGTGGAATAACGCTCCAGAAAGTAACCCACATCATCCTCTAATAACCACACCAGGGACTCTACCTGGTCTGCACTAAATGGTGGCAAAAATTCATCCCTGCATTCGGGGGAACCAGATGAAACCAACTCAGCACAAACTTCAATCAAAGGCTGCACCTCAGAGAACTCTGTGCCCTGATCTACTAGAACATGAGCGAGCCGTATTACATTCTAGCAGTTCATCCCGGGTATACTCCTTCAGAGTTTGATAAGCATACTCCCTGTCATCAAACACTAGCAGATATAAATATTCAACCTCATCCAGATCCATCCTTCCCATCAACAAGCCAAGATGCTTCCCTGTGCAGCCACTTCTGGTCAGGATTGGCCTTGGTGTAATGTCAGGGCTCCCAGGTATGACCAGAGGTGTGTGACTGATGCAGGGAAACGCAGACTTCAGATCTGTGATAAACAATACAATTTATTAACACTAACCATACAAACAAACGCAGTGCAATACTAAACATAATACAGTGCAAACAAACCAACCAAACCACCCACAGATAACAGTACATACAAGCAAGCGTCGTCAGGCAGGCCGGGTCAATATCAATTGGGCAGGTAGGTACAGGGGGAGCAAGCAGAGAATGGTCGGGGTCACAGGCCAGGTTCAGCAGGTAGCAAGCAGCGTAGTACAGAGGGTCAAGCAGAGGGATGGTCAGGGTCACAAGCCAGGGATCAGGACAGGAAGCAGAGAATCAGACAGGAACAGAGAGCAGGAACAGGATACAGGGCCCAAGAGAAACACAACACCAAGGCAGAGTCTGTGGGTCTGGCCATCCCTTAAATACCCCAGCATCATCAGTTCCAGGTGTTAGCTGGCTGAAAGGTTGAGTCTCTGATTGCTGGGAGCACCCGCTGGCCAGCCCTGGTACTGCAGATCAAAAGGCAGGTGAGTCCCACCATTGCTGGCCAGTCCATTCCTAACACTTTGTATGTCAATGTTAGTATTTTGAATTTAATGCGTTGGGCAATCGGAAGCCAGTGGAGGGAATGACAGAGGGGGGTGGCAGAAGCGGAGCGATTGGATGAGTCTGGACGCTGAATTCAGGATAGACTGAAGCGGGAATAGCCTGTGTTGGGGTAGGCCAGTGAGAAGGGAGTTGCAGTAGTCCCGATGTGAGATAATAAGGGAGTGGATGAGTTGTTTAGTAGTGTCTAGGGTTAGGAACGTACGTATTTTGGAGATGTTGCAGAGGTGGAGTCTGCATGAGTTTGCCAACGATTGGACATGGGGTTGGAAGGACAGGTTTGAGTCTAGAGTGACACCTAGGACTTTGGCTTGCAGGGTCGGACTGATGGTGGCGTTGTTGGTCATGATGGAGAGGATGGGGGGGCACGGGCTGGAGGGAAAATTAGGAGCTTGGATTTGGAAAGGTTCAATTTGAGGAAATGGAGCGACATCCAGTCTGATATGTCGTTCAGTAGGTGGGCGATACGAGCAGAGACTGAAGGGGTGAGGTGAGGGGTGGAGAGGTAAATTTGCGTGTCATCGGCATAGAGGTGATAGTTGAAGCCGTGGGAGTGTATCAGTTTGCCGAGGGAGGAGGTGTAGGTGGAGAAGAGGAGGGGCCCGAGGACAGAGCCATGGGGGACCCCAACAGAGAAGGGGAGAGAGGGGGAGTGGTGGTGGTAGCGTTATAGCTAATGCTGAAGGAGCATTTGGATAGATAGGAGGAGAGCCAGGAGAGAGTGGAGTCTCTGATGCCAAGGGAGTGTAGTTTATTGAGGAGGAGGAGGTGGTCAACTGTGTTGAAGGCCGCGGAAAGGTCGAGGAGTAGGAGGACTGAGTAGTGGCCATTAGCTTTGGCGGTTAGCAGGTCATTGGTGATTTTGAGTAGGGCAGGTTCGGTGGAGTGTAGGGGACGGAAGCCAGACTGTAGTGGATCGAGGAGGCTGTTGTCAGTGGACGCTTAGGCGATTGTAGACTAAGCGCTCAAGGAGCTTGGTTGTAAAAGGCAGCAGGGAGATGGGTCTAAGGTTGTTCAGGTCGGTGGGGTCCAGGGATTACAGAGAATGGTCACAAAAAGAGAAAATATCCAATGAGCAGCAGATGTGTGGACGAAAATGCCTTGTTGATGTCAGAGGTCAGAGGAGAATGGGCAAATTGGTTGATGCAACATTCAGATGGTAGGGTCAGAAGTTGGCCTAAACAACATTATAGCATGGATCCATCCTGCCTTGTATCAATGGTTCAGGGGTGGTGGTGGTGTAAATGCTGTGGGGGATATTTTCTTGGCATTAGCAAGGTGTACCTAATAAAATGGCTGGTGAACTTATACCCCACTCAGCAGACTGAATTGACCCCTTGTACACAAAAGAAAGTCAAAATCACTTTTAGCATAATATACACCTCGGGACCAAAGATAAAGACCAAGGACAATATGGAGTTAATCAGAGAAGATACAGCTCTCCGCCATTCCTACTTTGCCTCTTAATTCATCCCAGAACAACTGGACATATACAGCAGGGCCTCAATTGGCCCAAAAACATAACATATAGACCCTGCATTTTAGGGGGACGATTCATGATTAATTCTTACTTGGCAGTAGTAACTGAGGCTGCTGCGATGATAGTACTTAGGGGACTACAAGGGTTATTGGGGGTGGGGTAGATGCCAGCTCTTCCACCACCATAGACAGATGGATGCATATCTCCCTTTCTCCATTTAAAATAGCTTGAAATATGCAGAAGTCTAGTGTTTGAAGGTGTGTATTTATGTACCATATGTACCTTAGATTAAGACTGATTGAGGGCAAAAAGTGATGTGAATGAATAGTTGTGTTATATAATAGTGTTGCACAAATTGTCAGTGCTATATACTGTAAATACCTGTAAAAAGGGTGTTGCTTATACATGTAAAGTGAAAGGCCATTGCTACGCCATAAACAAGATACATAAAGCATTTTAATGTATAGATTTCAAACTTATTACAGCAAATATATGTACTGTAAAAGTAATCAAACTGAAAATGTGATGATACCCTTTAAACCTTGTTCACACTATTGTGGTTTTCATTACATTAAAATGAAAATAATTATTTAAATTAATTGGTTTGCGCATATCTTAGCTCATAGTGTGTGTTCCTAATTAGTCTTGCTTTTCTCCAGACCAAGAGCACTGTGAAAAGCTTTTGGTTAACTTTGAGGCACTTGTCTATGTTGCCATACACTGTGATTAAAGCTGTTGATTTGCTAAGTGACAAGGGAAACATCAGTGATAATGAACATAGCAAAATTCACAACTTTATATTTCTGCTGGTAGTTTAACTTGCCAGTGTCCTCAGAGCAATCCATTAGCACCACAGTCCTGCTGTGTACAACTTAGTTAGAGCCTTTATAGCAACTGTATATCTGTCAGTATATGGCTGGTTTACAGAACGTAAAACCAGATTGCTCACTACTGAGCATGAAGACAGGATAAATAAAGTGAAAAGATACAATAGTTTAGCATCTGTTCCTGCAGCAGTGAGACAGAAAGCAAAAATACTGGGATAAACGGGGTAAATGCAGCTATAAAGAAAAGACTATTATATGGTTTGGGATTACAGACAAGTGTTTGGATAGCAGAGAATATCATATTCTTGTGTCCTATCTAAAGATATAGTGGCCAGTTTGAACGGAAAACAATTCCAGTAAACATAATGGAGAATTAGGGGAAGATTAACAACTCATTAGTTGGCCATACAAGGATCTAAACTGGGCCATTTCTGCAGGGACCAGCCAAATTTCAGTTCATGTATGGACAGTCTGGTTGTACACAAGTAGGTCTATCAAAAGTTTTCTTTCGATCAGCGCTGCCAGCTATAGCCAGTGTATTCTGACAGCCGGGAAGTGTGCCCACTGTCAGAATTGAATAGCTCAGCAGGAGGGATTCCCCCATCCACATTGAGTGTGTGCATGGGACAATCAAATCATTTTCTTTTGTTCAACCACTGGTTGAATACAAAAATGACTCATGTATGGCCAGCCATACAGAAGTCATTTAAAGAGAATCTTTTTATTATCTGAAAAACCAC